TGAAAGCTGCTGTGGTATAGCTAAGTGAAGAATTAGGATGCATCACATTAGGTATCTGCAGTTTATTAATAGGTGTTGATTGCACCCACCCGCAACTTATCAGTTAGTCTGTCTACAAAACGGAAGAAGTATTTAAGATCTAAAGGTATTTCACATGTAAAAGATGTGAGCACGAACACATTCAAAAAAGGTAAAAACAGGCATAGAATTATGAACAGTTAGTGGAAAAACTGAAACAACTAGTAAACTCTGTTTTGCTTTGTCTAGAACTCTGCCTCCAAGCCAAAAGGCATTCTGCAAGTGCTGCCTTACCAATTTACAATGCAAAACCTGATAAGAAACTCCCTATAGGGCAGAGACTATATCCAATGTTCAGAGTTTCAGATAGGGTCCACAACAAGCTTACTAAGCATAATCAAATGACGGCTTGAGACTTATAAACTTGGATGACCTTCCCTCAAGACAGAAAATGATATCCCTCTAACCTCAGAACAATACCCTTCATATAATTCGCCCTCCTGCTCCAAAAAGCAGATTATAGAACTTCTCCTCCACCCCACCACTGTATTCCCAGCAATAGATCAGCCATTTTTTTGCTGGGACTTTAAAAAAAGTGGTTCAACACAAGGCAGGGAAAAAACTCAAACTGTTAAAATCTGCCAAAGAGCAACTATAAACAGTCTAATAATAGAATGGGTTAAGCAACTAAAACTACAAGCAACACCTATTCACTCTACCTGTGAATTTTTCAGTTGAGTTGGAAATAAATGTTGATCGTGATAGTTAATAAAGTACACAGTAATAGTAAAGTATCTAGTAAAGTAATTGTAATGAAACTCCACCCAAATGAAGTAATAAAGTAATACCCAAACACTTTCACTAAAATGATAACTAGTCATTTTCACAACTAACTGACATTTAATTTGGTATATGAATCTACTTGAATCCAAGGCATTTTGTTTTTCAATTATTTATTTAACGGGGGAGGGGGATCATCTTGGATTCAAGTATGGGGGGAGGAGGTGGGGTCCAGCTCCAGGCCAAACCCAGCAACCTCTACCCTCATCCATCTTCCCCCTCTCCACAGCTCTGCCTGTCCTGTCCTCCCCATCCCCTCCACCAGCTCCAGCACTGTTTTGTCCCTGCTCCAGCCTGGCAAGTTGCAGGGGCACAGAGGGAAGCAGGCACTGAGGGGCAGGCATTTGTGGGACATGAGACAGGTTGCTTGATACCTCCACCCTCTGCCTCTCCACAGCTCCCTCACCACCTGCCTGTCCATTGCCTCCCCAGTTGCCTGCTCCCTGCAGCAGTGGAGACGGGGGTGGTAGTGGTGATAATGACACATGCATTTGAGATAACCCTGCAAAAATTAGATTCTATGAAGGGAAAATAACAAATTTATAAAGTCTCCATGTATAGAATCTAATAATTGATGGGCTGTCTTAAATTCAGAATAATCTTGGTTTTGGGTAAATACAGTAGTTAAATTGCCTAACGACAGTGAAGCAGGACTAATACTAAATGGATCAAACCCATACAGAAATAGTCTAAATATGTCATCAGATACCTAAAATACACTAGTATTTAAATCTATGGCAAATGGATAAGAATGTAGCTTATACAAGACAAGAGTGTGCCCAGTAATTCAATGACTTGCATCCCATTCACATCTCTATATACAGGCAGAACACTGCCTCTAAGGTTGATAAAACAGATCCGAGATTGCTGGCATTTCCCCAGTCTAGAATGCAAATCCCAGGCCATTAAATAAAATTAACAGAGATACTCTGCTTGAAAGTCAACATGCTTGGTTAAGGTTCATAGGACACTGATACCTGTGAAAGTATGCTTGTAATTGACCATTTCAACTTTCAGTGTTAGACAGGAATCCTGACAGGGGACAGTAACAAGAGGCCCCTCAAGTATATTTAAAGGTTCATGATAAGAGTTAACCTAAGCATTTGTGTTTTCATCTGTACCTTTTTTTTTAATTTTAACAGTTTATTTTACCTTCAATTCTGTCAACCTGACAAATAAACTCTAATTTTTCTGAGATTTAAAAAAGAAAAAACTGATAAGAACACGAGGGGCCTCAGCATGCAGCATGACCACATTTCTAAACAATTAAAATGAAATATCTATTCCAACACATTCAGAAATCTCTATTCCAACACTTAGAAAAAGTCCAGCAGTTAGAAAGTTACTGAATGGAGAAGGGCTACAGAGGTGACCAGTAAGGTGAAGGTTCATTAATTATAATGCAGGTAATTTGTCAAGCAACATAGGATGTGTCAGGTGGGATTACCTAGACCTCATTTTCCTTTTTCAAAAAAGGAACGGTGAAAGCCAGAACTGAACTGCCAGAAGAAAATATAGTTGTTACAGCAGACAGACATTCAGAGGCAGCCTGAGCTGACAACTTTTATCTCTGCTAACATACTCTCCCCTGGGATGTATTACAGTGCATTGACATGGAAGTTAGGCGGACAATTGTGATCACTATTACCAATGACACTGGGATAACAAAAGGCCTAATACACCTGCTATGACAAGTAAAATGCTCTTTTTTTTCAGAAAGTCTACTATATAAAAGCACTGTCCAAAAAACATAACCAATTACTATTATCTAGTTTTTTGAAGCAATGTATTTTAAACTTTGAAAGAGCATGGAAAAAAAAATCAGCGAACTCTCTGTATCCTCTAGTAACAATACAACATGCACGATTCTAGGAAGAGATGGAGCGGGCACAGACAATCTGGCATAAGCTTTCAGCCATATGCTACACTTCAAACCTTTGGAGTTCTTATTCAAGATAGGATTTTAAAAATTAATACAGTATTCATGCACTGAATAGTCATAAGCAGGGATTCAGGTTTTCCATTCGCCACAGAAAAACACAGTAAAACCCAGATTTTCTCCTTTAAAGGAGAAAAACACAAGAAACAGTAGGTTTCCTCTTGTAGGCTGGCAGAGTTCCAGCCAGCAAGGGGCTGGGGAGAGCAGGAGAGCCCTGCTGCCCACCCCACCCCGGGGTCTTTGCAGCCCAGCAGGCAAGACTCAATGTGGCAGGGCAGAGTGGGCTGGGGAAGCTCGGTGCTGTCGCCACCAGCCACCCTGTTGTGCCAGGTCCCACCTGCTGGGCTGCAGAGGCCCTGGGGAAAGGGAGAACCAGGCTCTGCACTCGGCTGCACCACAGCAGCCACCGCCTCCCACATGTGGCAGCCAGGGCTCAGGCGCTGTGGACCTGGATCCCTGGCCCCACAGCCCTGGCAGCTGGGGGCCCCCTCTGGAAGGCCTTGGGGGTGAGGGGCTGTGGGTAGGGAGTGGGAAGCACCAGCAGGGCCCAGGGGGCTGTGGGTGGAGAGTGAAGGGCAATGGCATGGGCAGGTCACTGGCATGTCAGGGGTGTTCAGTGCCACAAAGCAGTGGGGAAGGAGAGGGGTGGATGGACAGACACAGCTGGACCCACATCCTGGTGAGCAAAGGGGGTACAGGGAGCTCTCATTTTTCCCTGCTAAAAAGCCCCAAATCACATACCAAAATGTATAGGTATTTCGAATTTATTTCATTATAGTGATTGAGGCACTGGTAGACTTCCAAAGTGCTCTAAAATTGTAAATATGTCAATAAAACACTATTCAATTGATATCTATAAAATGAAATGCCACTGTATATAATCATGAACAAATGTGGGTTTTGGGATTTTTTAATCATAAATTTGCATTTTTAATCAGAGAACTTGCAATTTGAAACAGAGAAAACAGGATCCCTGGTCATAATCTTTTTTCAACAATCCTGTGTGTATGCAAAATCATGCACAGGATCTCTACCCTTTTACTTCAGAATCCCAGTGTTTCAACTTGAGTTTAAAGCTCTCAGTTTACATCTTGTGGAAGCCATTCAAGTGTATACTTGACTAATAGAGAGCATGGCAACTGAAGTCAAAAGGAGTTATTGGTGCTCAACAGTTTCAAGGATCAAAATACTTGGGAGCCAGATCAGTCTTCTTTCGGGGGGTTTTTGGTGAATCTTAGCCTCCCCTTTTGGATTAGGAACATACCTACAGCACAACCTCAGTAAAATGAACCAAGGGACAAGTTCATGAAAAAACAGTAGTTGGTCCAACAGACTTAGTCAATTTGCTACACTGTAATGGAGAAAAAAAATCCTGCTGTTCATAGTTAAAAACAGGTGTTATGAAATTGTACTGTATGTTTGTACAGATCATTACATACAATTATAGTGCAATCGAATTTACATTATAAGTGTATATAATTATAGTACAATATAGTTTTGTGCTATCCATAAATTCTAAGCATTTCTCTCCATCATCGAAGTCAGGGTTATCCAACTGGCAGCTCAGACGCTGCATACAGCCCTTGGCTGCTGCTCCCCTCACTCCAACTACAACAGCAGCCACAGTTCTCCAGGCTCTCACCTCCTCAGGCTGCCACTTCCTGCCTTTGTCCTAGGGGATAAAGCAGTGTGGCAGCACAGGGAGCTGAGGGTGAATCCAGGGCCATGCCTAGGGAAGGGTTTTGGGGCCACAGGAGATGGGGGCAGCATCCAAACAAGTGCACAATGCACTGGGGAGGGAGAAGCGGGTGTCCACAAGCTGTAACTGGTGCAGCCCAGGCAGCATGAAGGTCATGAGAATGTAACCCCAAGGAGCTTCAAAGCGGGACAGCCTTATCTAAGTAACTAATGAAAATACTGAATAGAACTAGATCCATGACAAGACACCTAGGACACATTGCTTGGTATATTCTTCCTATTTGAAAATGGGCCAACATTGAAACAAGCTACTCAGCAGAGGTTATCAGCAACCACTCGTGCACCCCCTTTTGGTATTTCAGCTAGAATATATTTCCCCAATTTAAATGTTTAGCAGGACACAATAAAATGTTTTCTATTCCCTAGTTCTTCAATGTAAAAAAATGACACTACAAAAATTTTAGATATACATATCTAAGCTAATATACAAATTTATTTTTCTCACCTTTCTCCTTTCAGCTGCGTAAAAATAAGAATACTATCTTCATTCAGGAGGTTGCGTATGTTGTATGCATTTCCTATAAGCACAAAAAGATCTCATCTGAAGCTATTTGCTGTTTTAGAATATTATAACAAAACTGTCAAGTATAATTTAAATTGTCCTATGTGCATTCTGAACTCTCAGAATGACAATTTATCTGGCATTTTATCCATAATTTTAGATAGATCTCACAAGTCTTCAAATAGTCTCAATTTGTTTCATGTTTACTAGCAGTTGGAAGGAAAAAAAACTATCTGCAATTACTTATTTTGACATCAATTTAGAATAACTTGAAAAAGATGTGCAATGAAGGGTGTTTTATCTTAGTGAAAGCAAAGAGGTTGAATCCCATACTTCAACAGCCATAAAAAAGCATTACTATAACTGTGATTTTCACACACAGAAAAATTAAGACATCAAGGTGTTAAAACCTGTACTCAACTTATCAGAGTAGTCTGCAGGTGTCTACTTGGGACCTGCCAGCTAGCACAGTGGTTCCCAACCTTTTGTATACTGCGGACCAGCAAACTATGGACCAGAAGCGACTGTGGACCAGCATACTGCAAACTGAAGTGACCAGAGTATTGCAGACCAGCAGCCAAACCTTCACAGCCCACTACCAGGCTGCAACTAGTTCTTAATTTCTGTTGCTGCTATCTAAAAAACAGTTAATGTGCAGACCAAGTGTAATGAACCCACTATATTTGAAGTGTTCATGGAATGTAATGCATGTTTCCCTGAATTAAGTTCACTGCTACAGTGTTTTGTGACTCTAAGCAGCTAAAGATAAGCTGCCTAGTCTTGTTATTTGAATATTTGCATGAAGTTATGTTTGATATGGATATATTTCTATACCCATGTATAGAAACCAGGCTAAGAAGGTAAATGATACCACAGGAAAGAACAAAGGCTATTCACACCTAAAGGATCACAAATGGTTGGGAGAAGTAAACACTGAAAATTTAGACAGCTATGCATACTGGATGCTAAGGTGAGGTGCAGGTGCCAAGGCCTAACCAAGGCAGGGGAACTGTTTTTTAAGGGAAATAATCTTCTCCCGACATAGTATTAATTGGAACTGGAAGATTCAACTAGTAATCTTTGTGTGACAAGATGTAAAATATTCCTCCAGTCTATCAAAGGGGCAGGTTATATACACAATATTTGATCTTCACAAATTCTATAGAAAAATAGAATTGCCCAGATAAGGACAAGTGCTTAACCCAGGGTATGGGAGCCAGCATTTGTCTAAAACTTCCTGGGCATAAGGTGTTTTGGCCCCTCACCTAAAATACTAAAAAGAATCATTACCCTAATTCTTCCCCCCACCCCCACTTACTCCTTCACCTCTAATGCAATTCCTTGCATTTCCCCTTCAGCCTGGTCCCTTGGCAATACATTATTTTTAAGATGTACTTACCTGCTGGAACATAGAAGAAATCTCCTGTAGACAGACGATATGATGTCTCGTGCAAGGTAAAAATAACTCTCCCATGAACCACATGGAAAGCCTTTACAAGTTAAAGCCATAGAGTCTGTTAGTAAAATACTTTTTCTTTCACAGTAGTACTCATCATTTGCACACAAAGTACATCCTGCACTTCACAGATTCACAGAAGTTTAGGGCTGGAAGAGACCTCGTGAGATCAGGTCCAGCCCTGCTGTTCTGGGCAGGGATCCTCCCTATCCAAAGCATCCCAGAATCTAAACCCTAATGAAGCTTCTTGCACATTTACTGCTACAACTCCAAGCCACTGGTGCAACAGTTCTTGACTTTTTTTTTTCCAGTCAGAGCACCTCTCTCTAACATCATCCAACTGAGGGGCACCCCATTTCAAATCCATTATGGTACCAACCTCCTTCTAGAGGGGCTGCGAGAGTGTGGGGGACAGGGATAAGCTTGGGCTGAGGTGCTTTCAGCCCTGGGGACACCTTTCAGAAGCTCTCTAATGGCTGGGTTGTGCGGGGAGGCAGGGGGGAGGGAGGAGCCATAGCTCAACCCCAGCTGCCCACCCATGCACCCTGGACTCGTGGGAGGGCCAAGCTGCCCCCTACACAAACCCTCAGGCTGGAGTGGCTGCTAGGCCAGGCCCCAGATGCATGGCTGCCCCAAGTACAATGGCAAGGGGGGTGACGGGGAAACTGCTCTGGATCCTGTGCGTGCACACTTCTCCCTACTCCCCCATCAATACCAATGCAGACCGAAGTCTTTGGTATTACTGTATTTACTCGAATATAAGATGACCTGAATATACAAAGACATCCCCAATAACTAGATTCTATATATAGGAAATTTATAAATCTTATAACTTTCCAGGTATAGAATCTAATTATTGGATGTATGCCTTGAATTTATCCCCCTCCCACTGCTACAACAGGGAAAATCCATCTGGGGGATGGTCAGGTGGCCTCCTTGCCCTTTGCACCCCCAAATTCTTCCCCCTCCAGAGTCCCCTCCCCTCCCCCCAGCCTACTGTCACAGCCTGTTCTCCCCAAGCACATGAAAGTGAGGCAAATTTAAAAAACACCGACCTTGAAATAAACATAGCTGTTGTAATTTGCATCTAGTACCATAGACTTAGTTCATCAGGCACTGATGCATTTTCTTTTTTTAAACTGCTTCAAGCTTTAACATGTATAAACATACTTTTGAGCAACATTTTTTAACTTATTTGTCCACAGTATAAACTATGCATGATATTAAGTCAAGTCAGTCCCAAGGCCGCATCAAGTGTTGGGAAACCTTTGATGTAGCAATAACTTTCCTCCATTCTTCCCAGTTTTTTTACAATCCTTGTACAATCAGTCAGTTTTAATCCTGTCCAGCCTTTGATCCAACAGGTGATCCAGCTTGTTCTAGGTCTTCCTCCTCCTCTTCATCTATCCACAGCATCCTGCAGAATGGTGTTGGTAAGGGTGCCGGGCCTTCTTGTTACATGTCCAAACCACTGCATCTTTCTTCTTCTTACGATTTTGAGTAAGGGTATGTATTTGCCAACTTCTTGTCCAATTTGCATGCATGATATTAGTTGAAAGCCAAGATGCTTATTCATTGGGTAGAGCCCCAGCAGAGTCAACAGCATTTCAAGCCATGGTGACCCCACAGCTCAGCACTGCACACCCCACAAAGGATCCACGTGCTAATTAGGCTCTCATTTATGACTGGAACCAGGTGTTGTCATGAGTTCCAGGATCCTCCAAAAATTTATATGCAGACGAGGCAAAGAGCAACCTGGTCCAGCTCCCACCTCAGAGGGCAGGGCAACATTTATCATATGGCTAAGAGGGAGTAGTGAAAGAGGGATTCTAGGTGAACTGTTTGGGGCTTCATTTGGTGATGTTTGCCAGACTTTTAAGGCTGCTGAAGAAACAGGAATCATTGGAAATAGAAAAGAAAGGCACAGCTCAGCTGTGGGAGTAAAGAGGAAGTCAAAATGTTTTCAATATAGTGGCTCACCAAGACTTGAAAAAGAGTTGGTACTGAGGGGGACTGAGAACAATGGGCACTAGCGTATATTTTATTCAGATTCACTGCACTAAACTGTCCTTATGGCAGGGTCCCATCAGCATGTTTGTCCATTATAGGTTTTGTGTTTTATGGTCATGCGCAAGTGTTGAAATGAAATACAGAAGCACATTTAACCAACTCCATAGCTGGTTTCCATTACTGACCACATGTTGCTTTTGGCAGCAATTTAAATGAGAGACGCTGTATTTAATGAGGTTTCCTTGCATGCAAGACAAGGGGCTTTCCCACATGCTGATTCAAGAAAAAAACCTGCATCTTGTATTCAAATAAATACAGTATGCGTACACTAAAATCCCAGTACCCAATAAGCAGCTTCCTTACTTGAGTGCATGTTTACACAATATAAGGGGGAAAAAAATCAAAATAAAGACCAAATTCCAATATTAAATATTATTTAGAACAGTTAAAATTAAGGCATAAAATCCTTTCAGTATGCAATTCTACTAAACAAACAGGCATACTTACTATTTTATCCATGTGGATAAACTGGTACCCCTTTTCTTTAAGTGGTTTCAAGATCAGTTTACCAGTAGCAAAAACAGATGTATTCAGGTGTTTATATATTTCCACTGACTCATCTTTAAAGAAGTAGGAATGATTATGTCCAGTGCTAATACACTCTATAGAAAAAACAAAATTGCCAGAAGATAAACATTAATATCCACATGTAATGAGTTTAACATTAGCTCAGTAAATTCTCATATTTCTTAAAATCACACGCACAACTCAGTGCAACATGCTACAAAATGTTAGATTGGGTGGCCTATTGATAAATTCTATAGGTCGTGTATTTCTCTTCCTCTTTGTGGCTCCCCCCAGACTGCTCCCTGAAAAAGGAAGACTGACTTCTCAGCCTCTCTCCAAGTCATAGGAGTTTCCTTCCCAATAATGTATTTTCTGCACTCTTGCCAGCTCCCTTTAGCAACCTACCCAAAAGAACCTCTCCATTAACTGCTGGGTCCCATACAGCAGTTGGCTTAGAAGCATCTGCCAAGGAAATATCCAAATCTTCAACTCTATCATGTTCTGAAAAAGGAAAGTGTAAAAAATTAATTCTGGTACAGTACATTTTTAAACCAAGTTTAGACATTGTAATGGCATCACTAGATCTCAGACGTTTTATAATATAAATGTATAAATACTTCTTTTCACTGACTTTAAATATACAGAAAGATGGAAAGACATATTCCCCTAATAAAAGGGAATTACCTGTAATAACAGTACTTTGAAGACACTATTTCTCATTGGACTTGTTCTTATGCATTAAGGGATAAATGGCTCCATAAACACTTAATTGGATTCTCCATAAAACTGGTAACTATTCCTTCCACACCAGAAGTGCCAGGTCCCACCTAGGACCATCAACACTCTGAACACCTATGCATGACAGAGCAGATTTGATTAATCAAGTCGGCTGGAGCATGCTAATTAACGTGCTCCAGCAGCCACTATGTCACGTGTATTCAGTGTCCCCATGTTTCAAAATGGTGACAGGGGGTAGGCTTTAAGTAAAGTTCTTTGAACAAGCTGTAAAGTGCCCCTGCTGCCATTTTAAAGCGTAGGACTCTGAATAAATATGGCGTTGCGGGGGCTTTAATTAGAGAGGCTCTCATCCACTCTAATTAAAGTGCCCCTCACCACTCCACCCTGGAGCACGTGTATACATGGCCTCAGAGCTGCTGTAATTAAAGTGCCCTCCCCCACCACGAGCATGTGTATAGATGTTTTCTAAGCTCAACGTTTTCAGCAGATGGACCTCCTAAAATATTTCGGGAGAATATCAAGCAAAATCAGAATATTTAGCAAAATCAGAAACGGTCTTCTCTGTGTTATGAACAAAACTGTGTCTAACATTGCTAGTTAAAAATGTTAATGTGTTTTCCTAGTATACAGCTTTTCAAAATATTGCCCACCATCTTTTGGGCTGACCATTAGAGTATAAGTTAATGAAATGCTTGGCAACATTATCTACAAGTAACCTACTTTAATAGGTGACTTTAAAGTATGTCAACTGATGGGCTAGTAAAGGGAAAAGAAAAAACCCATGCTTCATTTTTGTTGACAACTGCACTAAGGACCTCCCAGACCGTTACGCATTCCTCCTTCTGCCCCTTCCTTTCAAACCATATGAAGTTCAAGTTTTCTGTAAACTGAGTATTGGCCATGATAATCTAGTACGTTTTTAAAAAGACTAAATTTAACATCAACATATATATGACACAATCCAAACTAAAGGCAAAAGTTGTGTTTTTCATGTTAGTTAAGAGTTTGATTAGCACATTTTTCTTACATGTTTTCACCCTACTTGGACACTGACAGGGGTATCAAGCTAACTCAGTGCATGTTCTAAACCCCTGCTGAATATTGTAGTCTTTAAATTGTTGACATAAAAAACAGAAGTTATATGGGTGTTTGTACTTGTTTTCTGAATATGGTGATTTCTCTTCCTCTTGACTTTTTCGGGTGATACTGGACGCACTACTCCAGCAATGACAAAACCTCCTAAAAAGAGAAAAAAATCAAATAAAGATAATTACTATATAAAGATAATTTTTAAAATATCTATTAAGGGGAAAAACCTATTCATGTTTTCAGAGCATTCTGGTTTAGAATCAGCAGTTTATAAGAAAATTTAGCATAATCACAACCTTTTGTAAAGCTACAGGTGCATTTGGAAATGCCATTCAAAAGTAAAATCATTTCTATTTCTTAGTTTGGGATTAGACATTGAAAAATTCCCTTTCACACTGTGCAGTATACCACTGGATTGTTTGGTAGGACTAACTTTACACCACTCCGTAGCAAGCTTGGAAGCCTCTGTTTACAGTGAAACAAAACCACTTAAAATTTAGCTTCCCTCATCTGGTCCAAAGATGAAGAATGAGAGCTGAGAAAATAAGTAGTCTTGCAGCAGCTAAAAAAAAATCCAAGAGTTTTTTCATACCATGCAGAATTTAAAATTAGAATGTTAACAGTAGGAATTCCTGGATATATGATTTAAAAAATATCTCTATATAATATAGAGAATGTTTTGGTATAGAGCATGAAGGATTTACTGGAATGAGTTATTATAGCCATGTTAACCACAGCTGAGAATCTGAACACAGTTGTCATCAATAAATCTTTCACTTTTACCTACTTAATTTCAACAAAGTATTCTGAGTATTCCCTGTACATGACATGAAAATCATCAAAAAAGCTGTTCTGGCTTTCTTGAAAATGCAATTATCAAGAGACTAACAAACCTGATTGCATTTTTAAGACTATAATTGCAAAATGAATGGCAATGGACAGCCAAACAAATGTATCATTTAAAATGTGAGTAAGCCCTTTCCTTATTCACAAACTTTTAACTTAAAATTAATTTTGGAATGCTCACATGGATTGAAGATAAAAGAATTAAAAGTAATACACAGTACCCTAACTAAAACATACAACTCGGAGAAAACCTGGGCAACACCACTGCTGCAAGTGACCTTCTGCACGAGTAATTTCAGAATCCAAATTTGACAGAAGTTAACTTCACACAGTGACAAAAAGGACAGTGCAATGCATTTCATCTCATTCTGCTAACCATATACGTCTGCTAAAACCAACCAAGAAACATGCTCTTCAACTCTGAGTGTCTTATTACCCAAAATGTAGACAACACAAAAGTAGTTCAAGACAACACCAAGTAAAATAATCAAGAATGATAGACAGTTTCATACGGTAAGATTAAAAAGAAGACATGTGAGCCAAAACCTTCAAGTCAACCCAGCACACTTTACTATGACTGAATTTTGAAAAGTTAGGCACCTAAATCACATAGCCAAGTTTTCAAAAGGCTCTGCCCCTCATTAAAACAAAGGGAACCAAGTTTTGAATACATGGTCTTGTATAAAATATGTAGTACTTAAAAGATGACAAGATACAAATGTAAAAATTGTGAAATGTGTAATAATCAAGAATGGTAAAGAATTTATAGCAATTCTCAAAGAATGGGACTTACATATTGTTATTTAGTAAGTACCAGGAATGATCCTTGACAAGTTAAATTCCACCACCTTAGCGTTTAAAATTTGGGACTGAATGATTATAATATGTAGTGGGGAACACAGCCTTGCATTGGACCACAGATCAATTAATGTCCCATTTAGTCTTTTATATCTCATACAGTAGAGAATCATTCAGCTAAAAGACGGTGTCCGAGGGGGACACAAGCAGAGGCCCTAAGGGCACCCTCCTGCAGC